ACTACGGGACTGTCCTGAGGGTGTCTCAGTGATGACAAGGTCTTGGAGCAGTGCTGTCCAGCAGAGGAGCCGATGGCACTTTGTGTCTCGTTCCCTCAGATTCTTGGTATCTGCATCCATTAATCTTATAAAATGATTCATTCCATGATGTTATAGCTGTATTGAAGTGGATAATTTCATATTTTCTGTCTTTTCCTCGGAAACATCCCTATTCCAGAGGAGAACAGACTCATGCCCTTGGGGGCCTTGGAGACATTGTCTGAAGCTAACTGTCTCAAACACAGATATATTTCTTTTTAACTTTATTGCTTTGTTTTAAGAATGTGACTTTTGCTTTTGTACCCATAATATGGCTGTGCCAGTTTCAGTATAAAAATATTTAAAAGATATTTTACCAGTTAAATTATATAATCCCCCATCTAAAAATGGCCCTGTTTTCCTAGGGCCTCCCTTATTTTCATGCCCCCATGTACCCTAGCTTGAGAAGTTTTGGCCTTCATTTAAAAGGAGAGAAAAGTATGAATATTCAATTAAGCAGGGTTAACATTGGGGAAGGGACTTTCACTAGCAAATCTTCAAATTAAAATTCATAGAAAAGTAAATCAAAGTGGATAAAAAGCAAAACACTTCCACAAAACAGATACTTGAAAAAAAGGAATAAATGAATGGATTATTTCTTAATGTATTTTTAATTGTTATTCACCATATTTTTAATTGTTATTCACCACCTCTTAATCCTTTTTTCCTCCACTGCAGTGGTGACACAGCAGGGCTAACGCACGGGTTTTTTCTATAACTTAACGGTTCAGAGATCTGGGCGAACCTTCACTTGCTCTTTTCCTGTGCTGCTGTCTTGTAACTGTTTTTGGCTCATCTTGTTTTTTCTTTAAGTTTCTGTTCACAGAGGCTCTATTTCCTTCTCCTGTTTCCTCCTTCCTCCCTTCCTTCCCTTTCTCCATTTCTCAATTTCACGGAGATGTGTTAACAGTTTTTAACCTGTCTCAGGCCTTCATCTATTTAGTGTGTTCCTAGCCTGAGTTTCATTTGTCAGAAGACCCTTGACCTGCTCTCTTCTTGGGGTATTTTTGTGTAGATATCATGCCAGTTCTTCTTTGTTCATTACTCATCTTTCCATTGGGTGAGTTCTTTTTGGAACCACTAGTTTGGGATGGATGGTTAGGGCCACTGGGTTGGCGTGTTTCTGGAAGCTTGACTTTGGGTATATCGTCTTATTAGCAGCACTTTCCTCCAGGGTTTGATTCTGCTGCGAAGAGCTGGGAGCTGAGGGCTCTGTCTAGATTCTGTGGTGCGTGATGTAGTCATGTCTCCGCCGTTGACTAAGATGGAAACATTCTTGTCTCCCTGAAACTTGGTCCAGTTTTGCTATACTTGGTTGCTCTTCATATATGACAGTCTGGTTTATGGACATCTGCTAGTTTCGACAAAGATGATGCTTCCTTTTCTGCTTCTCATTTTCCCTGTTATTGTCCATGAATTTCAAAAAGAACGGAAGAGCAGAGATCTTGGCGACAGTAGCCTGTAGCTGGTCTTCTATCTTGCTTCTGGCTCTCCCACTGCCTGCTCTCCACAGCTGCCTGCCCAAAAGCACGGGTGAGTGCGTAACTTCTGTGCTTCAAAACCTGGCTCCATGTAGCTTAGAAGGTAAACTACAGGCACTTCAAATAGGCCCCTCAGCCCCTGAATGGAGTGGCCTCTCCCTCTTGTGTCTCTAGATCTGATGTTTTCTACTCCTTTACATTTGAGCAACAATGAGTTGCTTGTATATCTGATAAGATGTTGCCGAATTTCGTATTTACTCCTTTTCATATGCCTGTAGCTTCCACCTGGAATTCTTTTTTCTTACTTACATAACAAGCTTCTACATACCATTCAAAGCCCAGCTCAGATGGTGTTGCTTTCTGAAGCCTTGTTTTACTTTTTTTGGAAGAGAATCGGTTTTCTCTTCTGTGCCTCCTCTTTACTCATCCATGTTTTGATTATTGCATTTTTTCATTATATTATAATCACTTGTTTACATATTTCCCTCCCTCACTAGATTTTGAGTTCCTTGAAACTGGTATCTTGTTCCTTTTTTAATCCCTATCACTTGGCACAGGGCCTGGTACTTAATAGGGGCTCAAGTAATGATTATTATTCAGGTTCGTATCAACGTAAATGGGAAGATTCAAATCTGAATAATAATTATTCAGGTTTAATGAAACAGGAGACAGAGTTTTAAATGCAGGACTTGAGGTTTTGTTTTCATTGTCTTCCTTTGCTGAATTTGAATGGAATATAAATAAAAGTGTAAAGTAATACCAAAACAAATAAAACAAAGCAAAATCAAATACAGATATCCTCTAGACCATAATAAAAGACTTGTGATGAGGAAAGACCGAAGGAGGAGAACGCTAAATCCTGGAGTTATCTGAGTGCTAGTAAAGTGAGTTTGCACCGTGAGAGCAGCTGCGTCCTCGGAGGTGGAGTGTGTGGAGAAAACCCCACGCCTCTCGGGTGCCGCGGGAGGAGAAGCTGCGCGCTTTCAGCTTTTGTGCCTTCCTTAGTTGTCGGGCAAAGGAAGATGCTCCCTGGGATTCAGCCTCTCTGTTTTAAAAATAACTCCTTAGACTGCTGATTTCGTGGTATTTCTTCTTTCCTGAAAACTCTATGCCCATTTCCAGCAATAATGGATGATGTGCATGTCTCCCTAGTACAGTTTACAGTGAAAGGTGAAACACTGAGTGAGACTGAAATACTCCATATGTCTTAAAATTCCACAATTCCAGGCGTGTGGGAGACATTCGGCACAGAAACTCAACATGAGTAATCCTTAGAAAACAGTCTGAAATCGATAGTCCTTCCCCACTGCCTGGACATGCTGCAGAAGGCATCCCCTGGGGACCGTTGGGGAGCCATCTGGAATTTTTCAAACTTAGTATTAGTGCTTTGCTTTTACAGAAAGGCAGCAAAAACACCTCTCCCAAGCCTTCCACCTGAGGCGCTGAGTCGTGCATTGGCATGGATTTCCCTTTATTCCTGTAGCTCTGTGAGGAAGTAATTGCAAACCGTCCAAGACCTGCTTTTGTTTATGTCCCATCAGCAAACAGGAGTAAAGATGCTTCCTTATTGCTTCTCTTTTATCGCTAGGCAGCTGAGGAAATTATCTAATCGCAGTGTACGTTTCTCTTTAGACTCCCCTTCCAATCCCACTTGGGCTCCATCCAGCACCCTCTGCCCCTTTGATTGTGGGCGTCTCTGTTGCGGGGCCACGTTTGGAGCTTCAGGCTCACTCCCTGGACCCCTCCCTCCCAACTCATTGAGGAGCTGGTGAACGTGAAGGTCATTTGAAGGTGGTGTGATGACTTTTTTAAGGAGCTCCAGAGTATGTCTGAGTCTTAACACTAGTGTCGTGGAGCTGAAGTTAGTTCACTTTAATACATTTTAGTCAGGGGCCCACTACGTTCTGAATGAGACGTGGTCCTAGTTCCCAGGGAGCTCCCAGCTTCGTAGGAGGACTGGTGTGTGGCCAGTGTGAAGGAGCGGCTCTCAGGGAGAGGACAGATCCCCTCCAGCTTGGGAGGCCGAGGGCACCTCTCAGGCAGCCGATTCTGCAGCCATGACTTAGTTTCATGTCAGGTTCCCTCCCGCTGCTCACGGAGACCCATTTTCTCTCCACCAGAACTTGGGCCCCTGCGTACTTTTCACATGCAAGTGCTTATTTGACATGACCCATGAGGTTGCAATGATTTCACACTTTGCCCCTAAATGGAAGTTTGAGGCTTTCTCACTGTTACTACTGTGTCTTTTTTTATACTTTACTTACTGTTCACATAACGGACAAAAATGTTTCTCGTCAGTAGATAAAGCAGTATTGAGTATCCCAAAGTAGCTAAAAAGTTCCTTCAACCGCTATGTGTCCACTGAGGCATCCTTGCCCCAACATTTGTCATCATGTCTCATAAACGTTAGTTATAACTATCTATAAATATTAGTTCTGTAAAGTTTGGTAGCTTTATTACCAAACCAATACATTTTCCTTTGGTCATCTCCCTACTGTGGGCTCCCACAGTCCCATCATTTAGAGGAGAGGACACCTCCCTCCTGGTTTCTTGCTTTTCCCTTCAGAATTCTGACACCTCTGAGGACAGTATTACGTGTCTCTCCTCCTCCCAAGAGGAGCGTGAGTTGGTAGTCCGGGTCAGATCTCTCAAGCTTGTGGGGGATTCATCCACAAGGTTGCATCTGTGTTGCTCAGAGTAATTAGTAGTCCCCTGAGAAAGAAAAGGCAGTTATTAGTGTGAAAGGGACTGGTGTGGTGATCCATTGGTATCTTAATGTCATAATTACTGCTGAGTCTGAAGTGACAGGTGAAAGTCACGGCTTCATAAAAGTGCCAGGGGACCTGTGCCCTCTTGCTTCCACCTGATTCTTACGGGCTGAGCGACGTGAGGCCCACAAACAGAGGGGCTCCGCCATGCTCGCTCAAACATTCATTCCACAGAGTGGAAGCAAACAGTCATGATAAAGGTCCGTGTCATTTCTTTCCTTCTGTCTCATTTTTTCACTGTCCACATGGAATTCTTTTTACCTACAATCACTTAACCTAGTGCTTACTGACGTCCCTGGCATTTTCTCTGGAGACTTGACCTTGAGCAGTCAGTCACATCACGGGATTTCATTCAATCCCGCTTTTCTGTGAGTTCTTTTTTTGTATGTGATAAATCCAGACTTAACTACATTTTTTTTCAGTCTTATGTCACCATGCTAAATTCTGACATTTTAGTAATATCTACCACTCAAGAATCCAGGTAAGCCTTCGGAGTTGTTGATTAGAAGTTACCATTCAACCAACACATGAATTACACCATCTACTATACTGAATTTGTATTTACCTGAATTTGGGGGGTATAATTTCCATGAGATTATCCTTGATCACTGTTGTACTTACAATTATCAGTATCACTTACAAAAGATTTACCATGCTTATTATCTCATTTTAGGTCACCAGTCTCTTCAGAAGATCACGGTAAGAATCTGTCTTACTTATACTTACTAATATAGGATTCAAAGTGGAGCTGTGGTCCTTACATTTCACTGTCAGAGGGAAGAATTATTTAAGAAAATGTCTCTAAGATGTTTGCCTTGAGGGTGTGTGTTTTGTTTTGTTTTGTTTTTTAGTGCAAAATATCAAGCACTTTTAAAACTGAATTCATCCCAGCTAAATTTGGTATCTTGTATTATCTTCAAATCTGTTACAACTATCTTGGTTGACAAATATTTCAAAACTTAATATGTTCTGCTTGATATCTGTCCCATCACCAGATACAGTTGACTCCTGAACAACTCAAGAGCTGGGGGCACCAACCCCCCCACGCAGTTGAAAATTAGTGCATAATTACAGTTGGCCCTTCCTGTCTGCAGTTTCTCTGTGTTGGTGGATTCAGCCAGCTCACGTGGTCCTGCCGCATGTACTGCTGGGAGGACATCCTCAAATGAGGGGACCTGCACAGTTCACACTCATGTTGTTCAAGGGTCAGCTGTACTTTTTTTGTGACTTTGGGCTCGTCATGTAAGTTTCCTGAGTCACAGAGTTCACCTTTAAAACTGGGATTTGTAGTAGACAGTCCAAAAAGTCCCTTGCAGATTGGACACTGAGATTTGCAGAGGGTGTTCTGAGTCTGAAATGAAGCTAGTCAGTAGAAGTCTGAATTGTTACACAATTGAGGTGAGTTATTTGCATTTTAAGTGACAATTATTTTGCTCAAAGGAGAAAATATATAGTTTTGCCACATCTAACCTTTGGAGTTGTACGTGTATTCAGTCAGTCAGAACTTTTAACTGTTTACAGTGGGTCAGTGATGTTACATAATCATGTTATACAAACATGCTCTGAGAGGATATATGCAGGGACAATGGGATATGTGACAGAACTTTCTCCCTCAAGGAGCTTTATGGGTCTGTTGGGGGAGGGGGTGGTGAAATGACCCAAACCTACTGCAATACAAAGCGAAATGTGATTAATCTTACAGAAGAGGGATAAACCAGGCCTCTAAGAGCACCCCTGGCATTCCACTTCATGCCGTCCCTCATTAGCTAAGGCACCGTCATCCATTTAGCTGGCCAAGTAGAAAAACATGACAGCTGTTTTAAGCTTTCCTCTTCACCCTCTCATTTCTACCTGATCACTAAATTCTGTCAACTCTGTATTTTATATATATAATATATATATATATATATACATATATATATATATATATATAGTCTCAATTTTCTTTTCCATCCCCCATTCTTTTAGTTTAGGGCCTCTCCACATCTTAACTTGGACTTTTAAAATTGTCTTATAACTGATATCCACACCTCTAGAATTCCTTCTTTATGTAGTTCACTGTGTACCTAGATAGCACCAAGCTGATTGTTCTATGGTAAAAATCTACTCCCACTGCCTAGAGAATGAAATCTTTTCAGTGATTGATTATACTCAGCTCTCTAATACTGATTTTTAATAGAAAATAGAAAGTCTTAAGTAGTGGAATCTTTGTCTTCCTCTACTGCTTAGTGTTTCTTTTGGCACATGTCCCCCTTCTGTCTGGGCTCTGTGCTCAGCCATGTGGCACTGCATCTAATTTCTGAGACTCGCTGTATTTATCATGTTTCCCTGCCTTTATCCAGACGGCTCTGACAGAAGCTGCTCCTCCTTTTTGCCATATACAGTTTATACCCATCTGAGACCTTGTTAATCACCTCATCCTCCATGAGAGCTTTCTGTCCTGCTTATCACTGCATCAAGTATTTTTCTTCACTCTAGAATTAGCATAAAAATTTGATGCTTGACTTACCTGTCTCCCCTGTAAGACTGTGAATTCTTTGATACAGCGTCCAACAAATGGCAAACATTCAAAAGATGTTTATTAGTTGAGTAAGTTAAAGAGAGCAAGAGGGGGTTCTTAAGCAGGCTTGTTCTGCTGCCGTATCATAAAATCTCTCCCAGTACTGGAAGGAAGTTGTATCATGTTTTGTGAAAAGTCATAGGGCAAATTATGTTCACGCCTATTAAGTCAGAATTAGGCAGCAACCACCTAATGATGACCCACTAGTGTGTGCTGTTTTGCTCATGCGTGTTGGTTAGACTAGGTTTTTTATTGTATATTGAGATCCTTGGTCTTCCAGTTTCAAATGATAAACCAGGGGAGGGATATAGCTCAATAGTAGGGTGTGTGCTTAGCATGCACAAGGTCCTGGGTTCAATCCCCAGTACCTTCTTTAAAAAAAAAAAATGAAGTCTCAAATGATAAACCAGAAACTTGTGGTTGGTTTTTATTTTAAACGAGGGTTTCTGTTAATGACCTTTGTTTGCATTTGCCTTCCAATCTGTGCGAGTTTATCCAGAATGAAGGGAGGGTGGGGGCTTCTGAACTGCAGTTCTGTCCTCGGCTAGGAATGCTTGAGGGGTTGTGGGCTATCAGTGAGCATATGCAGTGTCCTTGAATGTCCTGAAACGTGACGACTACCAGGACGACTTGCTCTGTTCTAAGAGCACTTCAGAGTGGATTATTTTAAGAGCTGGTATATGTGATTAGTTAAAGAATTATGATCCAAAGAGGGCTTTTACACTTTTGTGGCCTCAAAAACTATATCACCTGTCCATGCCTCGTAGTTTGATTTTGCAACTTCCAAAAACTATTCAGATAGTAATGGCAAAGTTACAATGCTGATTTATCTAACCTCATCTGATTTTTTATCATCTTCTAGCCCAAGTATCCTTAGAAAAATATTCTTTTCCTTTCCTTTATCACCAAGATTTTCTACTAGCACTTAAAATGTTTTATGTTTATGCATTTTTAAGTGTTCGTATTGCTGTGGTTAGCATAAAACCTTGACTAGTACATCATCAAGCTTGTATCTGTACACAATAATGACACTGCGGTATACTCATGAAGAGGTAAGCAGCAGCATTTTTGCTTTCTCAAGGTTATGGGTTGAAAAGTTGAGACACATTGGTGAGTGGATTGTGAAATTGGAAGATAAAGCTCTGTGCCTCTTGACTTTCTGTCTGCTTCCCACTAATGATCCTTTTCCTCTCTCTAATAACTGGCCACTTTGGCTATCTCCAAAGCTGACTTCATTCTTGGGAAAACAATTTTCTAAAGTCCAATAACCCTGACATTCCCAATTGCCTCCAATTACCCTTTCATAGAAAATGTGCTTGAACACTGTGGCTTTGTCATTTTCTCTCTTAGTTTCAGTTTCCTTAGCTGTAAAGTAGGGCTCTTCTCATCTTCCCTGCCTACCTCATGGAACTGTTATGAGTTCAAGTGCGCAATCACCTGTGAAATCATTTTCCAATTTGTTAAAAGCACCCCAAACATAATGCTGTTACTGTCAGCAGTGGATGAGGAAGCATATGTTTACTCTGGCGTTTGTTCAACATTTATACTGCCTTTGACCAGGTAAAAGATGTGCTGGGGAGGAGGTGTGGAAAATGCTTCCTTCAACATTATCATTAAATATTAAATTTTAATGGAAACCTTTTTATGTCTGGGTAAGGGGGAGTAAAATGGTTAATACACACTTTAGCCTGCAGTGACTAAGGGACAGTTCATGATTAGATGTGCGGTCATATAGAACTGACTTTGTAAGGCCAAAGTGAAAGGTAAGCTGTTTCTCTTTATATCATAGAGTATCAGAGTCATTAAGAAAAAGGCTAAAATTTATTGTTTCTTAGAGAAACAGAAACTTAAACACTGTGCTGAAGTGCTTCAACTACATCATTTCACTTCATCTTTAGCAAATCACACACACAATAAATGTGTTCTTCTCAATTTTTAGTGGGGGAAACAGGCTCAGAGAACTTACATAGCCTACTGAAGATCACAGCTAGTAAGTGGTAGAGTTTAATTTTCAGACCTCGTTCTAACACTTGTCTCTTGCTCGTTTACCCATCATGACCCAGAAAACAAAAGGAATGATTGTCAGCATTAAGGTCAATTGACAGAATTACAGAGGTAAAAAAATTTCCCTGTAACAAGAGTTTATTTACTACTGTGTGAGTAGTTTCTTTTTAATGACAAAACAAAACAGACCTAAAATAACAACTTCTCCCTCCTGCTGGGAATGATTTGTCCCTGTAAAAAAGTAAATACCAATGTCGCATTCTCTCACAGTTAGTTAACTGAGTGAAACTGAAGCTTCGGGGAAGCCTGCCATGCTGAGTCCCAGCGGAAACATTACATTTTAATGTTACAGCTGGAAGCGGGAGTCCTACTCCTTGTCAGAAGATAAGCCTGGCAGTGATGGATTGCCTTGTCCTGTGAGTCTCCTCTGCATTTAGTGCATAGCACTTCATCATTTAAATTGCTCCTGGAGCCGCCTCCGGCGCCCAGGCTGCTTCGCCTGCTCTGAGCTCTCAGATGCTGTCCCGTCGGTCATCTTAGGCAGCTTCTCTTCCTGGCCTCTCAAAGTGCCTCTCTGCTGCTGCCATGTGTGCGCTGTGTGTGTGTGTGTCTGTGCCATGTGTGCACTGACAGAGGGTCAGCCTCCAACAGATGTCTGTTCACTTACGAAATAGAAGACAGTACTTGACTCCCCTGGAAGGAAGTGCTGACAGTCTGGTTCCCCCTGGCAGGACGGAAGCAGGCATCCTTCTCCTGTCCTACCTCCTGGACGTGGGCAGTACGGGTTCTCACGTTGTACGGTAGTGTTTCTGTTGCCGCAGTAACACAGTGGACGAGGGTGGGAGTGCGGGCTACGTGGAGATAAAGCTGTAGCAGCCGCCGTCACTAGTGTAAGTGCCCAAGGATGAGTCCACTGACCGCTCGGAGGCACTTTTACTTTGCAGTAGGTTGTGGTGTGGCCTAGAGCTCCTTAATACATCAGTGGCTGTCTCTTGGCTCAAATGCCATAAATTCATTTTTCTCTCTGGTATAAGTATTTATGTATACACGTAGTTTTAGTGAAATAGATAATATTCATTAAAACATATGAACTCGTATCGGCTCAGTTTAAATTTATAACCAGAGGAACTACCAT